GGGGGGGGGGGGGGGGGGGGGGGGGGGGGGGGGGGGGGGGGGGGGGGTTCTCATAGTTGTGCATGCCGTATTCGNCTTCCAGAGACAGTTGTAAGCACTGTGTAACTGCCTCGAGTGCTTGACCACTTGAACACAACGTGGTGCGATCATCCCACTTGCGCGCAGTGAGGGTTCTCAACCCCGCACAACATGATCTACTCGAACACCATTATGGTTACCGCCAAAAAAAAAACAGAGCAAAAGAAAAAAAAAGTGTAACCTAGTGCCGAGTTCACGAAGTGAAATGGCTTGTTCTGCAAAACCGTTTTCACTTCCTGAGACAGCTGTAAGCACTGTGTAACTGCCTCGCGGGTGCTTGACCATTTAAACACAACGTGGTGCGATCATCCCCGTTGCGCGGAGTGAGGGTTCTCGACTCCGCACAACATGATCTACTCGATCACCATTATGGTTACCGCCAAAAAAAAAACCGGAGGTCAACAAAAAAGAACGGTAACCTGGTTGCCGAGTTCACGAAGTGAATTGGCTTGTTGTACAACGTCGTTGCCAAGCGACGAAAACCCAACCCCGATGGCAAACACCGGAGAGTGGTGGGGGTCGAAAAAATCAGTCTCCCATGTGCATGTGGGTGCGGGAAGCATTTGTTAAACATGTGCACCAGTGACACCGCTGTGCATGGCGGGGGCCGCGCCACCCCCAGGCCTTAGTTCCCACATGGGGTCCCGGTGGGAGGCGGGAAGAGGGATGATATGTGTCGGATGCGAGGGTGCACATGTACGGGGGCAAGGGGGTGAAGCCGACACTCTGTAGAACGAGTATGGCGCTTCGCGATGGCTGTGACAAGTGTTGCTCGAGGAGCCCATCAAAACGTGTGCTCACAACAACAACAGCAGCAGCAGCAGCAGCAGCAGCAGCAGCAGCAGCAGCAGCGGAAGCAGCAACCCACCTTGAAGTTCTCGAGGTTGTAAATCTTGACGTGCCTATCCAGTCCCCCCGTCAGCAGCCGCGATCCGGTGCCATCCAGCGCGAGGCAGGTCACCGTCTTCTGGTGGTTCGCCAGCGTGTGCAGCAGCCGCCCCCCTCCTCCCCCGAGTAAATCCCACACCTGACGAAAAAAAAAAAAAAAATGGGAATCACGCTTGCAGGCTGAATGTGATAGGACACGCCCACCCACCCCGCCCGCCGTCTCTAAATTTGATCCGAACCGGATCCGTCTTTCCCGTGTGGGTCATGGATTCGGTTGGTGGGTAGTGTAGTGGCGGGGCTAGTGGTGAGGTGGAAGAGGTGGAACGGTATAGTGGCATGTGCTAGTGCTGGCTTGATCAGGAACAGCAGTGCTCAGCCTCTCAACCAAGCGCTACACGGGACTGGCAACTGAAGAACGGGGAGTGAATGTCTAGACGACGGTGGTGATGGCGTGCGTGCTTGTGGTGAGCACCACTTCGAGCGGTGTTGAGGCTGGGAAAGGTCACGCCCCAGCTGGACGCGACGCCAGCTGCAGGTTGTTGGTCCTGCTCCCTGCTTATTTTTCATGTTGCATCACCCCTTGGTGGCACTGTACTCTTATGAGCCCACTTCGGAGGGATCACTGGCACACTTGGTACCAGGTTTAAGTAAGGGATCAGGCTCAACGTCTTACGTTTCGACAAGCTTGAACTCTTGATGTGTCATTACTGCCGTGGCCGTTCAAGGTCGGGCGCTTGCTGAACCCCCAAAAACGAGACACTCGCCTTGACTTCGTTTCCGCCGGCGCTGACGCAGAGACCCCCTCCCGGCAAAAACAGGCACGCCTCCACCGGAGCCCCGTGGGAAAGCTCTAGCACGTTTCGCTTGGGTTGTCGGGTGTCCCACATCTTGACGGTGTGATCGTACGATCCGGAGATCCAGGTGTCTGGGCTCGAGGGGGAGGCCGCCAACGCGCGTACGTAGTCCGCATGACCTTGCCTGACCTGTGTTTTGTTGCGGCAGCGTGTTTGGTGAAGAACACGCGCAAGGTAGCCATTTTCATTCCTTGTGTATGTGGTGCGACATAAAACACAGTTGTGAGATTATGGAAGGTATACACCAACAGCAGCGGCAAGACAAGCATCGCCTTCATCGTCAATCACTTCCAGTTACCAACATCCAACACCGCCACCAACACCAGGGTCGATCTAGCACCACCATGAGCAAAACCAAAAAAATAAACACAGCACCAGCACAATCACACCGACACCTCTTGCACCAATCTCGAATATCAACACACACCCACCACCGCCATCAGCAACCAAATCACAACTACCAGATACTACTAAAACAAACAGCAGCAATAGCAGCATCACAACCGCACTTCCTACACCAACACCACTATCGCCACAAGCATTAGCACCAACACAGGTAAGAACCACCACCAGCAACAACAACAACACCAACAGCAGCATCTCCGCACCAACATCAGTACGCATGCTACCACCCCTGCCACAGCCACTAGCATCAACACAGTCCAAGCACAACCAACATCGGCAACAGCAGCCATCGACACAGTAGTGCTATAAGTTCCCTACCTGGACGGCCGTAGACGTTGGCAGATCCCAGAGGCGGAGTGTTTTGTCGTCGGAGCCGCTGGCCAGTTGAAGACCGTCGCAGGACCATCTCACGACTCGCGTAGGCGCCTTGTGTTCGCGGAATGCTCGGAGGATACCCTTGGTCTTAACGTCGATCACCTGACACCACAAAAAAATAAAACATGGACTGTTGGAGTAAGGCATGGAGGTGTTGCCACACATTTATGAGACCCTGCTTGTCAACGCATGTACAGACAGGCATGTCATCGCAACTGACGAAAATTAACGTACCTAGACTTCAAGAGAGAGGGGGAGAGAGAGAAATTCCTGGCGTACAAATGAACGGGTGTTGATGCACGATTCCGTGAAAACCCATGGTACCCCTTCCCTCGCTCAAGATAAGCCAAGGCACCTGCCTCCCATTCCCTCCGTGATGTCGACCCCTACGGACCAATCGACGGAATCAATCACATTGCGACAATCTTGCGAGGCAAGAAAGGCTCGACAGCGTATCCCGTACCAGCGACTACGGGAAAACTCTGGAGCAAGGCTTGCACGTCCTGTGCCACCTCTTACAGCGAGAGAAGGACACGCCCGCGACAAGACAGCAGCAAAACCAGGAACGTTGTGTTCCGGCAACACGTCGACTACCCAGCTACGAAATGGCCTTCCTCCATCCCTTGCTTCTACAGCACAGGTAGTCCCTGTCTATCTCTCCCCCCCCCACCCCTCCCCACCTCCCCACCCTCAGAAGGACTGGAGCGCACCCTCCATGCGACTAGCCGAATACCTCAGTGCGCTTCGCGCTTGGCGATGTGCGTACCTGGTCCGGCGAGAAACCGGCGTGCTCAGCCCCGGCTTTGGCGGGATGCGAGGTCAATGGCCTAAC